TGTGTGGTGTGTGCGCGTGGTGTGTGTGTGGTGTTTGCGCGTGGTGTGTGTGCGGTGTCTGCGCGTGGTGTGTGTGCGGTGTCTGCGCGTGGTGTGTGTGCGGTGTCTGCGCGTGGTGTGTGTGTGTGTGGTGTCTGTGTGTGGTGTGTGTGTGGTGTTTGTGCGTGGTGTATGTGCGTGGTGTCTGCGCGTGGTGTGTGCGTGGTGTCTGTGCGTGGTGTCTGCGCGTGGTGTGTGCGTGTGATGTCTGCGCGTGGTGTCTGTGTGGTGTGTGTGCGTGATGTCTGCGCGTGGTGTGTGCGTGGTGTGTGCGTGGTGTGTGTGTGGTGTCTGCGCGTGGTGTGTGGTGTGTGCGCGTGGTGTGTGTGTGTGGTGTCTGCGCGTGGTGTGTGTGTGGTGTCTGCGCGTGGTGTGTGTGTGGTGTCTGCGCGTGGTGTGTGGTGTGTGCGCGTGGTGTGTGTGTGTGGTGTCTGCGCTGGTGTGTGTGTGGTGTCTGCGCGTGGTGTGTGTGTGGTGTCTGCGCGTGGTGTGTGTGTGTGGTGTCTGCGCGTTGTGTGTGGTGTGTCTGCGCGTTGTGTCTGTGTGGTGTGTCTGCGTGATGTCTGCGCGTGGTGTGTGCGTGGTGTCTGCGGGTGGTGTCTGCGCGTGGTGTCTGCGCACAGTGCTTGTACGCGTGGCGTGTGTGTGGTGTCTGCGCGTGGTTTGTGTGTGTGTGGTGTCTGCGCGTGGTGTGTGCGCACGGTGCTTGTACGCGTGGCGTGTGTGTGTACAAGTCGTGTGTGCCTACCCCCCGTGTTGCTCCTCTCCTGTTGTGTAAGTGGGGTCAGCCGCAGACTTGACACACTGCAAGACATTCCGGTGTTGCGTGCAAACTCTGCAGCGGTAAACACACAGTGACAGAATAAGTACATTTATAAAGAGATGTCTCATTACATATCCCGTGTCTCGTGCAATCTGCGCAATGCTGTTTCTTCCCACAAGTGATGCGCGGCGTTGCCGTTGCAGGCAGTACAGCGTGGGGTTTGAGCTCGTGGTGGTCAGCACCGAGGGGGACTCGGGAGCTGCGTTCTCAAGGAAAGGCTCTGGAGATTACAGGCAAGGAACTCTCCCACGATGCTGTAGCGATGCACTCATTCCACTGATTAACATTTATTCTCAGGATCACGTGCATCAAATCGTGCACGTGAGAATCTCTAATTTTACCTCTCATTTTACCTCTCATTCAAATGAATTTGCGAGTCGCTGTGTGACGGAACCTTTGTCGTTCACGCCCCAGGAGCGGATTTTGTTACCTGGAATTGGAGTCGCTGCCAGCTGGGATCTACAACCTCATCCCGACCACCTTCCTCCCTGGTCAGGAGGGCCCCTTCTTCCTGGACATACACACGGCCGCAGCCGTCAAACTCTCGAAACTGCAGGGATAACGCGGCCGTCGACTTCACGCCACCCATTGCAGCAAGCATTCGGCACATCAGGAAAACCCGAGCGGCGGGAATTACACGCTCTTGTTGCCGAACGATCGTTAGCGGCGGTGTTTCGAAGACACTCGTCCAAACATCCTGACATTTACTTACAGCCTGAGCGGGAGACACACATCGGTTTAATGCTCACCTGTGCTGACCACCAGTCCTCTGGCTCGCTTTTCATCCCCTGCAGAAATGACTGGTGTGGCAGCGATTAAATATCTTGTACCAAAACACCAGGAGACACTTTGAGATGAGTGACAACATAGTCTTGCGTTGCTCAATTTTATTGTAAACTAAATGTAGTCGGTCGGTTGCCTTGAACCTTGACATTCTTCTCAGCCACTCGGCGTGCTCTGTGCACCTTGCCCGGATGTGTCCCTCGCATGAGCAGTGACGGTGGGCGGTGCAAATCAGTTGGTGGCAATGGCTGCTGCAGTGAAAAGCTGAGTTGTGCATAGCAGATTAGTGATTCGGCACAAACGAATTGGCCTCCGTTTTACATGGCATCGCGGTTCTTGTAAACCGTGTACCTAATCTACATTTTTCTACTCTGCATTTATTACCCAAATCTTCCCGGGTTTCATTAAAAAGGATTAAAAGTGAATTTTGTTTACATTTTAACTTAATCATGTGAACATATTTGTTCTAAGCCCAACGCATGTTTCATACCGCAAAAGTTACAATTTCTTTTTGTAAAGCTGGCATTAAGTTAAAGTAATTGAAAGCACTTTTATTCTGTTAAAATACTGTTGCCTTTGAATACCGGTGTATGCAATTGTCTGCATAGTACAGCATTTCCCCAAGCGCTGGTTTGTAAGCCCCAGACGGGTCGCGTTAGGAGCTCGCGGTTAAATATTTAAGTAGCGATCCGCTCCCTTGTTCAACGCCGCGCGCAGGGCGTGGCCCCTGGCTTGTACCCTCCTACGCTCGAGTTCGGGGTCGCCAGATGACATAAACAACAAAGGTTAAAGGTGTGGCCCTGCAGTTGCTTGCCCAAGCGACTGCTGGCAGAAGGGCCTCGCGCTCGAGTCAACTCGAGAAGGTACTGTATTTGGTCTACTCTTCCACGTTTGCCTGAGTGCTGGACGAGGTGGCCGTGCCCACGACATAGTGATGCCAAAATATCGGTCTGAGGTGTCGCTGTGTCAAAAATATTTGGGAAACCCGAGATGTGAGTATAATGTGTAATGTGTTTACTAAAATGGAGAAAGGTTCTGTTTAGATATTACCGTATGCAATTTCAACTGAAGTATATTTTACCATGATGGAAATGATTTATTATTCAATGGGGTCGGTTGGTGAACCAAAAACATCAAGTAGAAACATGAATTGTGTTCCATTGTGTAGATCTTATGCACGGTATAAAATGTTACAATTGATATTTTGTCTGGATGCGACTTTAAATCTGATGCCGTGCGGCATGAGATGCTTTATGGAAAGAGTCCTCGACCACACAGTGGTTGAGGGTTGACGTGTATTGTAGGCTTGCGGGGATACGTGGTGAACAACCGAAGCCAGCTGATTTTTGCTCTTTTATTAATAGTTATTATTTTCCTATTTAATAAACATTGCTTTCGAATATTAACATTGCTCTTTTCTGTATTTTTTTCAAATGAAAAAAAGATTCACTTTGAAATGTGGATGTTTATGTATTCCGACGTCCCATCGCAACCTGTGAGAACTCGTAACCGTTTTCTTCTTCCGCTCTCAATGGTCACTACAGAATTCCCCTTCCCCCTCTGGCGTACAGACCAAGGCCTCGTACAGACCAGGGCCTCGTACTAACCATGGCCTCGTACAAACCAGGGCCTCGTACAAACCAGGGCCTCGTACAGACCAGGGCCTCGTACAAACCAGGGCCTCGTACAGACCATGGCCTCGTACAGACCATGGCCTCGTACAGACCAGAGCCTCGTACAGACCATGGCCTCGTACAAACCAGGGCCTCGTACAGACCAGGGCCTCGTACAGACCAGGGCCTCGTACAGACCAGGGCCTCGTACTGACCGTGGCCTCGTACTGACCGTGGCCTCGTACTGACCAGGGCCTCGTACAGACCATGGCCTCGTACAGACCATGGCCTCGTACAGACCATGGCCTCGTACAGACCATGGCCTCGTACAGACCAGGGCCTCGTACAGACCAGGGCCTCGTACAGACCAGGGCCTCGTACAGACCAGGGCCTCGTACAGACCAGGGCCTCGTACAGACCAGGGTTGTGTCGCCGGTAACCGCATACGGTTCTGACTGTGACGTCATAGTAGCAACCTGGTCTCGGCTTGCTGATGAAAGTTGCAAAGATTGTCATCCTTTGATTTAAAACTTTCGTGACTGCAGGGATTCATATTCTTGGTTCTTTCGGTAAAGTCACGTAGAAAAGAAACAAAAATATAAAACAATAAAATTCTCACGACGTTTCGACTGCAACACAAGCTATCATCATCAGGTGTAAAAACCACAGCAAAATAAAACGTGAGAATTTTATTGTTTTATATTTTTATGATTTTATTGTTTCCCTTCTACGTGACTTTACCGAAAGAACCAAGAATATTGTCATCCTTGCTTGCAGTTGTAAACGGCATCGTCTCCCCTCCTGATGCCGAGGGGAAATGGGCGAGGTTCAGGACTGTCTCATGCAGCTGCAAAGGGGAACGCGGTTCAAACAAATCTCCCCAGCTGGGTCGTCCCTAGGGGGTGTGGTGTGTGGGGCACGCCAACGCCTTAAAACTAAACCGGCACCGTGATGTCGAAGTGCGCCCCCCCCCCCAAGCGCAGGGCCCGGGGCGGTCGCCCCGATTAGCCGTATCCCCTGGGACGGCTCTGCTTCCCAGACACCGTGGCTGACGGAGGTGCTCTGGATATGTGAAAGCAGCAAGCCCATCATGTTCGAGAATTAGGTTTTCGCTCAGAGGTTCGGAAAGCCGCGCGGCGCTGCAAGGATCGAGAGCGATGGTCGCACGTTGCTGAGCAGATGTGCAACACGCTGATGCCGTGGTGCACAGGGAGATGTGGAGCTGAGCGGACTTGCCGAAGACCCCGGGACCAGCGGAGTTCAGATCGGCCTCGATGGGGGAGGGGGCTCGCGAAGGACGCCCCTGGGCAGTTGGGGGCAGCCGCCGACAACGGAGGGCGGAGGGCCGAGGAGCGACGCTCGACGACGACGAGCGGAGGGCTGAGCACGCGAGCAAGTCGACGAGGGTGGTGGTGGCGGCGGTTGCATTTGCGAGCGCACTCCACGCGGCCACAAAGTGCACCTAGCCTGGCACGGAGCCACGCCGTGACGTCACCGGCAGCAGCAGCCGATCGCCGTCATCCCGCGGTCAGCTCGGAGCCCCCCACCCACGCACTCCCCCCCACTACCACCCCACTCACTACCACCCCCACTCCCCCCCACCCACTACCACCCCACCCCCACTCCCCCCCCACCCACTACCACCCCCACTACCCCCCACCCCCTACTACCCCCCACCCCCTACTACCCCCACTCCCCCCCACCCACTACCACCCCCACTCCCCCCCCACCCACTACCACCCCACCCCCACTCCCCCCCACCCACTCGCCCCCCATCCATGGAGCCGCTCGGCAGCGACGCGCCGGCTCCTCCGCCGCTGCGAAGGCGAAGCGGCAAAGTTCGCGGCGCAGCGCGAGCGGTCGCGGCCAAGCAGGGGAAGCCGCAGCAGGCGGTGGGCCCCAGAGGCAAGCGAGGCCGCCTGGCCGGCCACGGCCGCCTCGCCCTCGTCGCTGCGCTGGGTGAGTTGGGACCCCCCCCCACCCACCACACTCACCACACCGCACCGGCCCGCAACCCTCGCTCCGCGGGGCATCTCCTAGGCCAGGCCGAGGCTTACGTTGCGGCCCCGCGGCCGAGTCGTGAGGAGGAGGAGCGCCCCTTATGAGCTTCCTAAACTTCTGGCAATCCGGCGAACTTTTTGTCTAAAGAGCCTGCCTCTGCCGATGAGACCCCATAAGGTGAAACCCCGGGCTCAGGGTTTTGTTGGCTTGTGAAACCCTCCCCCCCCCCCCCCCCCCCAAACTGCTGCTCGCCGCTATTGGGATTGAACAGCCGAGGGAGGCGACCCCGACACAAGCGCGCCCCTTGTGGACGGAGGGAGGCCGCTCCCGGCGAGACGCGCGCCCGCTTGGGTTGGCGTGAAGCGCGGGTGGGAATCACCGCCACCACGGTGGTGGTGTTCGGTGGTCGAGGCTAGCGACGGAGCAGCAGCCCAAGGAGTGAGCGCGCCAGAGAGGTCACCACCACCCCAACCTCCAGCCCCACGCGGTAACGGCGCAGCCCCGCAATGGCCTCGGCTCACGCCACTGTTGGACGAAAGATTTCCGCTAGAGGGGAGCTCAAAAGGAGTCAAGCCGGAGTCGGGCGCGGGCGATGTCGGTTAAATCAGCCCGCTCTGTTCTCTTTCCACAGCTGGAGCTTTTGGACTCGTGCACTGGTACGTACTGCACTCTTTTAATCGCCGTGTTATTTCTGCAGAGTTACCTACAAGGTGTCATGCTGTGTGGCCCGCGACAGTCCCGGTATTACAGAAAGTCTCTCTCGGCGCCCCAAAGCGTTGCACCGAAATGGGGCTTTTGGTTACCTTCAACGACCCCGTGGCTTCACGCGACCTCGACTCAGACCTCGTCTCAGACCTCGACTCACGACCTGGGGCAAAAGACCACGCGACTCGGGGAGCGGAGCCACCCGGAGTGGTTGGCTTACCCCGGAATACAGTTTTATTTTTTAAAGAATATTTATTTGCACTCCAGGAGGAATCCGATAAGCTAAGAAGCTCGTTTTTCGCAGATGTTGAAGTCGGGGCTACCCATGAAGCTCGCGGGCAGGGGAGTGGCGGGCAGGAGAGAGACTGCCGCTTTCCCGTATGTTCTGAATGAGCCTCCCAGAAATGTGGTGTCGCTTAAGTGTGAACGACGTGGCTGCCCTCTGCTTCTGGCGCTAACGGTCGCCTCTGCTGTGTGGTGGTGTCAGGTACCATCTTAGCAGCTTGTTTGAGAATGACCGTCATTTCTCCCACCTGTCGACCCTCGAACGGGAGCTCACCTTCCGGACCGAGATGGTGAGGAATTCGCTGCAGGGCCTGGTTGTCTCGCTCACCTTGCTATGCTGATGATCACCACCCGATGTTATTTTCGTTAATTTGCCATGTACTTATCTGCACACGGGTTATGTTTCTGCTCTTGAAATCAATGGCGTTCATCTTGTGGGCATACTGACCCCAGCCATGCAAATATGGAATTTAAACTACTGTCTCAGGGCCACCAAAAAAAATCACACATTTAGCCAAATCTACTCTTGTTCGTGAGCACCAATAATACTGGCACAGCAGCGCATGATGTGACCGCCACCACTAGGGGCGGAGCCAGGATTTCAGGCCGGGGTGACATTCAACAAATTTTAATTTCAAGAATGATTAGAGAGTCAGGCTGTTGAACTAGACGCCATCGGTTGGTGACACACTCTGACAATGCAGTTGCACGGAGTTCGCCAGACCGAGTGTCGTACACTTATACGCAGAATGTCACCCCTGTCACCCCCCCTGGCTCCGCCCCTGGCCACCACCACCATACCCGGTCATACATTCCTCCCACAGGCTGATGAATATGAGTATAGCCCAGGCATAGTTGAGATGCAACTTGCCAATTGTGCCCGTGCAGACTCGCGGAGCGTCATGCTGACCGCCGCATCAACGCTGTGTAGCTTAAATACCCAGAGGATCGTAAACTCTATCACGCACTTTGTGGTCGCATTGTGGTGGACCACACTTTTAGATTTCAAATGGAATGTCAATAAAGATGAATACAGCAACAGTAAATGTAATAATGTATGACCTTTGGCAATCAGCGGCCATGGGTGTTGTTTGACCATACTTCACCATGCCGGTCAGTGTGGGTCGGTGAAGGTGTTTCCAATCATTGGTTCAGATATCACTTAGAACTGATGCTGGCTGCTGGGATTTGAACTCAGGTCACTTGGTTAGGAGCACGTTGTGCTTACTACTGTGCTACCTCTTCCCCAAGACAGCTATAATTTAATAACAAATCCGTTTTGATAGCTTAGTACGGTTGGCTGTAGCGTAGGGCATGATGCGTACGCTGCTATTCTTGTTGCTGCTGTTCTCTGCATGCGTGTGCAGGGCCTGTATTACTCCTATTACAAGACCATTGCAGAGGCACCCACATTTTGGTCTGGCCTGGACATGATCATGCGCGACCGACTGACCGAATACCCGCAAGTGATCAACACCCTCAAACGGTTCAACCTCTACCCCGAGGCGAGAACATCCCCTCCTTGCTGTCTTGATTTCTGGAGAAAGTGTGATGATTTTCTGAATGACTTGAAGCTATAAATTATGAATACCTTTTTAAAGCTTTACTCGCAGTATCGTGGTCGTTTTAGCCCCGATTTCTGTTGTATTTTTTTTGCTCCTGTTGCTGTACTTTATTCTTATTTCTTTGCTTTTGTCACTTGGGTGACACGGTTCACTCTTGCAAATGAGACTCATCCTGGTCTCTTGAGTTCTCACCTGGTTAAATAAAGTCAACTTAAAATCTCTTACATATGTTTCAAATAAAGCATTCACTTTGAATAACAAGGAAAATTGTACTTTTACCAGGTAATTCTTGGGGGCATGTACCGGACGTACCTGGCTGTGACGAACAGCCTGGGAATCCAGACTGTGCAGTGCTGGACCGTGAATCGTGGCAACATGCTAAGTGCCATCTCCAGCTGCGAGGGTATGCGGCTACCACTCGGCACAACGATTGCCTTGTGCATGATTCATCATCACGGCACCGTGGCCAAAACTGCTGATGCCTCCGCCCACAGCACCCCGCTACCAATGCACGCTCCCCTCAGCAAGATGGCGCAGCTGCTGCAGAATAAACACGCAGCCACCTCCAAAATGGGCCCTGACAGCTTCCCTCCAACTACTCTTAGGACTTCCCCTGGGTCGCCGTGAGGACCAATCCAGTGGCCATATTGGCAATCGCCCCCCCTCCTCCCCATCCCGCTCACGCATCCCACCACCAGCGCAGACGTTTTTGCCAATTCATATCCACAACGTAGACACGTGGTTACACCCTGATAAACAATGTCAGGCAGTTTAGAGTACCACCCATTTGCTTTACAGATGCATGCACACTATTTATTTTGATACTCATATGCTTAACAATAACGCTTAACGATTTTTTTATGTGTTATGTATTGTAAATTTTGGCCTTGAACTAGGACCCCTATGTAACAGAAATGGTCCCTGCCTATAAACTACGTTCTGTGTTTAGGTTGTTTTCCTTACCTCGCACCTGTTATGAGCAAAGTTGGCTACGTACGGTGCGAAAGAATCTCAACGTATATACATACAGACGTTGGGCGGTTCACCAGCTATGCTTTAAGCTTCCTGACTGCTGACGAAATACTGAATGTCAAAACCGATGTTACTGAAATGATAATCACGTTCAGAACGCCGTGATAATCACGTTCAGAAGGCTGATGGGATGCTTGTAATTGTTGTAGGTGAAGAGACGGATCTGTGAAGCTGGAGGAGGCGGTGGCGGCGTGTGTTGACTGATTATTTATCTTGGTACAGCCCTCACAAGGGTCGTGTGTTCACGTTGCAAGCGGCGTTCCCTCTCTCGCAGATTCTTGCTTATTAATCATAGTCTTTTTATTCCCGGCACATCAACGAAAGCCGATGGTTTTATTATTGTAACTGTAGCGTTTGACCAATAAATCCTACGTTTTATTTCATAACAGACATGGCACACGTTCGTGTATGAAATTACACTCGCATGTGCTTGCTGGAAAACCGTGGCTGTCCCCCTCTCTGTGTCTCTCGAGGAATGGGAGACATCGCGTACTTCTACGTAAACATGGTTTTCTTCCTGAATGGCCTGATGATGTCCGTGTTCTTCCTCTATGGGACATACCTCAGGTAAAGCCACCCATGCGTCGTCACACCGCTTGCTTCCTCTGTGGGGATCCCCAAGTTCATTGAACGCAGAATTCCCGACACGCTCTCCGCAATTATTATTTACAAGGTGCAGTGATGAATCGTTACATTTAATATTCAAACAAAACACATGCTTGACTGTGTAAAGTAAAATCTTTCAATTTTGGCCAGACCACAGGTTCTTTAGCAAACCTTATGTGTTGAATAAGTGTCTCCCAAGGAGGTAGTTACCACTGACAACTGGAAACGCTTTCATCCAACTCCAGCTGGCACTTAAAATTGTTTCTAAATGCGTTACTGATTTATTGGCCTTGGCAACACATCCTTGAATAAGTAGTGCCGGATGCCAATGCGTGGATATTAGAACTTCCTCGCAATGCCCGTGCAAATTTAGCCCGTGTAAAGTTACACGCAGTAAATTAAGCACTTTAGATGTTGGATTCGCGTTTGTAAGCACGGTTGGTGCATCGCAAATAAGCCTGTCTATAAGAATCCATAATCTTAACTATGTATGGCGCATGGACATAGCAATTTTACAAGTGCATAGCGAACATTGCGTGTTGTTTTGCTGCAGTGGGAGTGTCGCTGGAGGCCTCGTGGCTGTCCTGTCCTTCTTCTTCAACCACAGCGAGGTGAGGTTCACCTGCTCAAGCACCAGAAAGCGAAACGGGGCAACCTTCAGCGTCTTGATGGCACCGCGCCACGGCGCTCTTCGCTGATTGGTCTTTGTGCTGCCCCAGGCAACGCGAGTCATGTGGACCCCACCACTCCGGGAGAGCTTTTCCTACCCATTCCTGGTGCTGCAGATGCTGCTGGTTACCAGAGTTCTCCGGTCAGTGGCCATCCTCATTCTTCTTTGCGGTTTAGTGGCTCACTTTGGGGTAAACAAGTTTTCTGGGAAAATTAAACATCGTGGTAGAGCCCGCTGTGGATCAGTTTAACGGGCAGACATGATGAACGTCCGCTGCAAGTTCCGTGTGCGCCTCTGCCTGTCCGTCCGTCGTGTGTTGTGTGCAGGAAGCCACAGCTGGAAAAGTTGACCCTGGGCATGCTCGCTGGCGCCACCGTTTGCTTCGTGCTGTGCTGGCAGTTTGCACAGTTCGTCCTGCTCACGCAGGTGCTGCTTGCTCGCCGCCCACCGATGTCGAGTCTCGTTATTTAAATGGCGAACCGGAAGCGGCGTCGTTATCGCGTCGCTGACCAAGCGCGTTCGTCGTTTCAGGTCGCGTGCCTTTTCGCGGTCTACATTTTGGGCTACATCGATGCTGAGAAAATGAAGACGTTTGTTCTCCTGAACGTGGTGAGCGCGCGAATTGAAACGATCGCCCGTTTTGTTCGAAGCGCGCGGCGCCGCGGGGGCTGTCTGATGGGGGGCCCTCAGGAAAGTGACGCCGCGCTCCGCGTCTCTCGACAGCTGTGCCTCGTCGTCTCCTGCACCCTCATGTTCGGGAACGAGATGCTGCTCAGCTCCTTCTACGCCGCCTCCCTCGTCGCCATCTGGGTCCGCCACCAGCAACCGCTGCGCCACACCAGCCTCTGCATCCTCTAAATCACGATCCATTCACGCGTTTTGGGCCATTGTGCTCTCTGTGTTAAGAAATTTGCATTGATATTTATGTTTTCTAGATTTCGAGTTGTGCCTTAAAAATACCGTTGAGCACGTTTTGGAACCAGGTGTTTTGTTTTGCTGGTAGGTGGTCGTCAGTCTGCATTCGTGGCTGAATAGGATTTCCCGGGTTGACCTGTTGAGATGGGTGAGTTGGTGTTTTACACTCTCAGTAAAGCTGGCATCGTGCAGATCGTTGCCACCGACAAACGCATATAATCCATTCACATTTATTATCCATTCCTCTTTAATATCTTTCCAAGTCAATCTGCCCGTTACATTCTCATGGTTTATTGTATAGAGCAGATATCCTCTTTCTTTCAATAAAAACATTAGTTTTCACTGCCAAACCGTACAACGGAGTAGTCAAGGCGCAGGCCTACAATGACTTGCTAGTGCCACTGCTGGCAGAAAGGGTCTCTTAGAGGGAGCTCTAAAGGGCCCCCTCTAAAGGGTATTTGGCCTACTCTTCAACGCTGTGCGAGACATCTTTAAGATGTGGGAATACGCACACTTTGCCCTCCCGCAAGCAACTCGCCAAACAAATCTATATTTAAACGAACGTGTGTATATATATAATCTAGTCTTGGCCAAGCGAGCTAATGCGTGCTGTGCCCACGTGCTCGCAAACACCGCAGGTGGCACAAGCGGGCATGTGGCTCGCAGTCACCTTCGTCATAAAGACGGCCTGGAGCCGCCTGCTGGGAGTAGCCGACGACGTGAGCTCTAACGTTGCAGAGACGTTCACTCTCCACTCAACTCTCACGTTGCAGAGACGTTCACTCTGCACTCAACTCTCACGTTACAGAGACGTTCACTCTGCACTCAACTCTCACATTACAGAGACGTTCACTCTGCACTCAAATCTCACGTTACAGAGACGTTCACTCTGCACTCAACTCTCACATTACAGAGACGTTCACTCTGCACTCAACTCTCACGTTACAGAGACGTTCACTCTCCACTCAACTCTCACGTTACAAAGACGTTCACTCTGCACTCAACTCTCACGTTACAGAGACGTTCACTCTCCACTCAACTCTCACGTTACAGAGACGTTCACTCTGCACTCAACTCTCACATTACAGAGACGTTCACTCTGCACTCAACTCTCACATTACAGAGACGTTAACTCTACTCAACTCTCACGTTACAGACGTTCACTCTGCACTCAACTCGCATGTTACAGAGACGTTCACTCTCCACTCAACTCTCACGTTACAGAGACATTCACTCTGCACTCAACTCTCACGTTACAGAGACGTTCACTCTGTACTCAACTCTCACATTACAGAGACGTTCACTCTGTACTCAACTCTCACGTTACAGAGACGTTCACTCTGCACTCAACTCTCACATTACAGAGACGTTCACTCTGCACTCAACTCTCACGTTACAGAGACGTTCACTCTGTACTCAACTCTCACGTTACAGAGACGTTCACTCTGCACTCAACTCTCACGTTACAGAGACGTTCACTCTGCACTCAACTCTCACGTTACAGAGACGTTCACTCTCCACTCAACTCTCACGTTACAGAGATGTTTGCTCTGCACTCAACTCTCACGTTACAGAGACGTTCACTCTGTACTCAACTCTCACAGTGCAGAGACGTTCACTCTGCACTCAACTCTCACGTTACAGAGACGTTCACTCTGTACTCAACTCTCACATTACAGAGACGTTCACTCTGTACTCAACTCTCACGTTACAGAGACGTTCACTCTGTACTCAACTCTCACAGTGCAGAGACGTTCACTCTGCACTCAACTCTAACGTTACAGAGACGTTCACTCTCCACTCAACTCTCACGTGACAGAGACGTTCACTCTGCACTCAACTCTCACGTTACAGAGACGTTCACTCTGTACTCAACTCTCACATTACAGAGACGTTCACTCTCCACTCAACTCTCACGTTACAGAGACGTTCACTCTGCCCTCAACTCTCACGTTACAGAGACGTTCACTCTGCACTCGGCTCTCACATTACAGAGACGTTCACTCTGTACTCAACGCTCACGTTACAGAGACGTTCACTCTGCACTCAACTCTCACGTTACAGAGACGTTCACTCTCCACTCAACTCTCACGTGACAGAGACGTTCACTCTGCACTCAACTCTCACGTTACAGAGACGTTCACTCTGTACTCAACTCTCACATTACAGAGACGTTCACTCTCCACTCAACTCTCACGTTACAGAGACGTTCACTCTGCCCTCAACTCTCACGTTACAGAGACGTTCACTCTGCACTCGGCTCTCACATTACAGAGACGTTCACTCTGTACTCAACGCTCACGTTACAGAGACGTTCACTCTGCACTCAACTCTCACGTTACAGAGACGTTCACTCTGTACTCAACTCTCACGTTACAGAGACGTTCACTGTGCTCAACTCTCACGTTACAGAGACGTTCACTCTCCACTCAACTCTCACGTTACAGAGACGTTCTGCACTCAATTCTCACATTACAGAGACGTTCACTCTGCCCTCAACTCTCACGTTACAGAGACGTTCACTCTCCACTCAATTCTCACGTTACAGAGACGTTCTGCACTCAACTCTCACATTACAGAGACGTTCACTCTGTACTCAACTTTCACGTTACAGAGACGTTCACTCTGTACTCAACTCTCACGTTACAGAGACGTTCACTCTCCACTCAACTCTCACGTTACAGAGACGTTCACTCTGCACTCGACTCTCACATTACAGAGACGTTCACTCTGTACTCAACTCTCACTTTACAGAGACGTTTATTCTGTACTCAACTCTCACGTGAATGTGCCAACGCTGATTTCTGTTTGGTGACATCTCCATAGGCCCACATTTTCAACATCTTGAAGTCCAAGCTGACGGGCTACAAGGATTTCGACACACAGATGTACACCTGTGCTCCCGAATTCGACTTCATGGAATATCAGGTGGCTCCCCTCCGGAGCGCCGTGCTTCCTGAGACACCCACAGGCAGACTGCTGAAGCGTACACATGCCGCGGCCTTGTCATTCCACTGCTGGATGTGGGGCCTGATTTGCAGGAGGTTGTTACTTGACTGTGCTTCACCCTGCTGGTCACAGCGGGTTGACGAAGGAGGAGGATTTCTCCAGAACTCTGGCTGTCGCATGATGATGCTAGTTGTAATGACCGGCGAAACGTGGTACTTTTATTGTAAATGTTGTGGGTTTACTCTCCAACACACCGGTGTGCTGAACCAGTAACTAATTGGCGTGTTTTGTTTACGTGACAAAGCTCACTAATTGGCTGTGTCGGGTTGTGGCAAGTTTAACGACGCATTTCTATTCACGCGATCTAACCCAAAAACCTCTTGTGGATAACGTTGGTCGCGAAAGCCTTCGTGTTAAACTGAAGGCGGAGAGAGTGGATGCCCATCCCAGCGCCTGGTTGGCCGCGGTGCTGCTGCGAACTGATACGCCTGTGAATGCGCGCTCCAGGGTTTTGTTTAAAACGCGTCCGTCACGGCCAGGCTTCAGAGAAGAACCGACTAACAACGAGGGCCGCCCACAATCTCTGAATGCGACGACGGCAACACAGAGCAAAGTTGACGAAGCGCTCTCGTGTTTTTGTTTCACGCCGGAGTCCGACGCCTCCCGGGTACGAGGGGGGGGTCGTCGTGGCAACAGCGGCCGAGCGAAGCCGCGTTCGCGACCCTGAACGGAAGGGGGGAGCGAACGCCCCGCCGTCGTGAGCTCGCGCCACGGAGATCGCCTCCTCGCTCCCCCTTGCACGCCCTCTATTTGTCTATTTCAGACGGTGCACAAATACACGGCCACGCTGCTGCTGCCCGCGGTCCTCGTCGTGTTCGCCATCATCGTCTACAAGGTCAGGGGGGTGGGGGGGGGGGGGCGCCCGCACCGCACCGCACCGCCCGGCGCGACGTGAAGCGTGAAGCGCACCGTACGGTGTCGCCGTCTCCCCGGCTGCTGTTTCGTGCGGCCGATTAGCACGGTTGGCTACGCGCGGTGCGAACGAAGTTGAACATACATACAAACATACGTACATACAAACACAAATACAAACGTACATACAAACGCACATACAAACGTACATACAAACGCACATACAAACGTACATACAAACATACATACAAACGCACATACAAACGCACATACAAACGCACATACAAACGTACATACAAACGTACATACATACAAACATACACACAAACGTACACACAAACGTACATAAAAACGTACATACATACAAACATACATACAAACATACAAACATACATACATACAAACGGACTGCCAGCGAGCCGCGCACTCTGTCTATTGCAGGCAATCAAGGATAAACTCGCGCTGTTGAGGAGCTCTCCTTCTCCGTAAGTCATTTAATCATCATCGTAATAATAATAGTTACGTATCAAAATATAACATCAAAATATAAGAATAGGTTTTACCCATTCTGGAAATACAACAGGTGTTAAAATGTTTAAACACCAAACAGACACCTTTTGCAAGGAATAATGTCACTACATGAACCACACAGTACTTGTGGTGAACATGCAAACCAAAAGCATGCTCTGGTAGTTTATGCATCGTCTTTTAAACTGATTGGTCCACACCAGAGACAACTTTCTTTACAGCCTAGTCTCAAACAGAGGACTCCAAAAGGCGAACACGAAGTACGTGTAGTTGATGGAGACACGATTCCTTGCAAAAGGTGTCTGTTTGGTGTTTTAACTCCTTAACACCTGTATTATTGCCATGAAGGGTGAAACCTATTCATATAATAATTACGTAATTATGTTGTAACAAAGAATCCCGGAATATGCACGCGGTGGTTGTGCCTTGTGTCAAGAGAGTTTACGAATTCCTCTCCTTGTGCCGTTTGAAAGCAGAGTCCTCGACAGAGGGCTTACTTCTCCTCCCCAGGTGAGGGTGTGACGACCGTGACGGTTACATCTCGTACACGAATACACGAACCCTGCACTCTTTCCTTCCGGAGGGAATTCAGTGGTTCTGCTCGGCACGGAATCGATTTTTTTGTTTCTCCTTGAGAAGTGATACTCGGCCCACTGTAAGATGATTCTCTTGTGACTTTCAAACCGTGCTGTTAAACATTTCATTGCCTCGTCCTGCTGGGTAATAGTACGGTACGGTAAATGCAGAGAGACTGTGGTGTGATCATCCTGTGCATATCTTACTTGAGAGCGAGCTCCTTCCCGTGCGGAGTTTGTATCCTCTTGCCCTGTTCTGCTTAGGTTTTCTGCTGGTTCTCCGGTCTCTAAACACCCACAATGTAACCGGTATTGGCCAAACATTCCGATGCAGGACCCTCCTGAAAAAGTGTTCGGACTCTGGGCACATTAAATAAGGAATATGCATGTTTGACACAAGTACAGTTGTGGAGTGGATGTCTCATGTAATATTCATGGTAATCATCACCCCCTACTGCGAAAACTTGGCAGGACCCTCCCTCATGAGACATGGTGAGGCTTTGCTGGGTAAACGAGCGTAGTAATACAACCTAATTGCAATGTTTTAACGTATTGTTTATTATTATTATTTAGATGAATAAGGAAAGACTGAGCCCTCATCACGCCACGGTACCCAAGGGAGCTGCTGCAGAGCCTGAGTGAGTGTGAGTGAGACGTGAGCGACTGAGTGCGAGCCAGTGAGAGTGAGTGAGTGTGAGCTGTAGTGTAGCAGTTAACGCTACGCTGCACTACGAACCCGGTGACCTGAGTTCGATTGCCGGTTACAGCCAACACCGGTGACGATTACCTGAACCGGTCCTTGGCCTCCTCAAGGTCGACTCGGCCTCAAATGAGTACCTGGCGCGGTGTGTAAACTTTGCGACTGGGGAGACAGGCGGCCGGGCGTGGTGCTGGCCACCCACCCCTTCGTGTGCCGTGCCGGCCTTCATAGGTGCTGCTCGCTAACAGCACTTGCCCCTACAGTCTGTTAAAGGGTACACGGGGGTTCTTTGTTTTTTGTATGTGAGAGTGAGTGAGTGAGCCGCAGCCGGCACGAGCGTCCGTGTGCTGAGTGCGTCATCGGCAATCGTGCGTCCGTTGCATCAGCCGATGCTAATTGTGGGATTAGCAGAAATTTGTGCCAAACCGTTGTGTGTTTGTTACTAACATTGTGCAAGTTAACATTCTTTGTGATTGGTTGATGGTAAACATTTGAAAAAGAAGTAATTTTATAAACGATGAGGAAAAAATCTCCACTGGCAAAACTGCCTGGTTGTATGTAATGAACACAATTTAAAAATAAATTTTGCACGATTCAAATCGGCCGTTTACCGCACGGTTCTGTGAATCGTGTCGCAGTTCGCGGCGTGACCGCAGTGCTCACGCGTGTTCTTGTTCCACAGGCAGGCCGATTCAAAGTCGCATCATGCCGAGGTGAGTCGTCGTCTCTTTTCAAACCGAACGTCGCGTCGCGTGAATGGTAAACGAGCAGGTGGGTGGGCAAGAGGCAGCTGGAACCATCAGAAGGTTTGCGCGTCACTGCAAGCTGAGTGGTCGGGCCGCTCTATGAAACGAGACCGCCGGGGCCTAGGAGCGCCGCTCGCCCCACCGTGCGTGCGTGCGCCTAGCCGCTGACGGCGTGCGTGCTGCGTTGTTTTGGGCAGCTGGTGTTCCACGCGCTCATGCTGATCGTCTTCGCCGTCATGGCCGTGCTCATCATGAGACTGAAGCTCTTCCTCACGCCCCACCTGTGCCTCATGGCCTCCCTGCTCTGCTCGAAGAAGGTAACTGACGGCCGCGTCACGAGCCCGCGTCGCGAACCATGTCTGCTCGTGCACGCGACACATTTTCCCGTACGTGCGATCGGATCGGACGCGTATCTCTGCTCGCCGCCGCGTTTGTGGTGCCGTCCCGCGTGTCGTCCCATAACCGGGGGCGGCGCGTGCGACGTTCCCCCGTTGCGGCAGACGCTGGGGGAGCCCCGTCGCAAGTGGCTGGCGCACGGGCTGGCGCTCGTCACGGTGGCCCTCATGAGCGTACAGGGAACGAGCAACATCCACGCGCAGTGGGCCAACGTGGGCGAGTTCAGCAACGTGGAGCAGGAGGACCTCGTCACGTGGATCAAGTCCCACACGCCGGAGGGTGAGCGCAGTCAAACAGCCTCCGGCGCGCTTCTCCACCTGTCGGCTACGATGCCTCGAAACGCGTCGGTGGGTCTCCCTACTCGATCTGGTCAGCGGGGGCAGGTTCTCGTTGCCAGCGACGGCACGAGGCGTTGATGGAAATTGTACGTTCCCGTGGGAAGGGCCAGTTAACGCGCGACCGCCCGCGCCGCGCCGCGAAGCGGTGCCCATTTTAACCGCCCCATTGGGGTCAGTGGTTTCAACGCGGGACGTGGCCACGATTGTGAAATTACAGGGATCCACTTGTGAGTCTTGCGCTCGCGACCACATCACACCACCCCGATTAAACGAACAAAGCCACGTCAGATGAAGTTGCTACGAGCCCTGTGCGCTGCCATGCGGTTCGCGCGTTGGGTCTGTGTGAGCGTCCGCCCGACGCTCGTAACCGTAGCCGCTTGCCGTGCTGCTGCCGTGCTGCGCCTGGTGTGTGGTGCTTCCACAGACGCCGTGTTCGCCGGCGCCATGCCCACAATGGCCAGCATCAAACTCTCCACAGGCCGGGCGATCGTAAACCACCCTCATTACGAAGACGCCGGTCTCAGGTAAAGTAACGTCCATGGCACACGCTTGGATTGTCAAATTGCTTTGGTTCTTCTTGGTAATTTTCGGGGATGTAAATTTTGTTGTTGTATTTACGTTGATCGCGTTAGCCAATTAAAAGTGATTTAGAGCTCAAAATGCCATTAACAGCCCTGCAGAGCCAGTGGTGGGAATTCCTCACTCCCATCCATAGGAAAACCACTCGTGACTTCCCTCACGAGGTGGTACCCATTTTATTCACCCCGGGGGGGGGGATGATGGACTAACAATCGGGTGTTTTAAAGTTGATCGCAGTCGGTTCGTTAACGGGCGGTGCTGTCCAGTCAACACTGTCATGCCCGCTCCTATTGAAGGAACAGGAGCACCTTCGTTCACCGTGATGCGGGGGATCGATATGGCGGGATCCTCCGATTTGAATTCTCGTGGCAAAATATCGCGGATAACACCGGTGATAATCGGGCAAACTTGCCACATCACTCATCTTATCTGCGAAAAATTCACACAAAATAGGATGCGGTTCCGCAGAGACTTTACAGATGATGAGAAGGTTTATGCGTCTCTGCGGAGCCTACAGCTGTCGCGGACAGTAGGGCCCTGGGAAGTGCATTCGCCGCGTGACTCGCGACATTGGTGGTGGTCTGTGGTGACCGCGCGTGCCTGGGCAGAGCACGCACGAAGAAAGTCTACTCGGTGTACAGCCGCAAGGGCGCGGCGGAGGTGAAGGGGATCCTGCAGGAGATGGGCGTGGACTACCTCGTGCTGGAGGACTCCTGGTGTACACGCCGGACCAAGTAGGTGCCTCTCCTGGGCCTCGTCGTCATCGTTATTGTTGTTGTTGCTCAGAAAATACTTAACCTAGAAAATCCCTTGAGATCGAACGTCTCGTTTGCTAGGGCGTCCCAACAATTTATCTTCTGTGGTTCTTTCGGTAAAGTTATTCTCATTCTACGTGACTTTACCGAAAGAACCACAGAAGATGAATCCTTGCAGTCACGAAAGCTTTAAATCGAAACGTCCCAACGATGTTTGGTGACGCTTAGCAAACACGTGACGACACCTCGTACACAAAGACAAAGTTCCCCCGTGTAGCCTTAACAGACTGTAGTGGCAAGTTCTGTTAGCGAGTAGCACCTACGAAGGCTGGCATGGCACACGAAGGGGGTGGGTGGCCAGCACCACGCCTGGCCGCCTTTGTCTCCCCAGTGGCGAGGTTTACAAACCGTGCCAGGTACTAATTTTAGGCTTGGTTAACCGGTCCTGGGCCTCCCGTATTATCGTCACCGGTGTTGGCTGTGAGCAAGAATTGAACTCGTGTCGCTGGGTTTGTAATGCAGCGTAGCGCTAACCGCTACACGACCGCTCCTCGCAACCTCGTAGACACACACACACACATTCTCAATCCACATAATCCTACATAGTTGGCGTTTGTACAGTGCGTATCGCGCGTTATCAGCTGCCCATTGCGGCGGCACATTGATCCCGTAGGCGGCTCTGGCGTCTGTCTCGGTGAGTGTGCGCCCATGCCGAGCCCGGACAGCGCTGGGGCGGGTGGGGGTGTGCCGTTGCTTTTGTCACGGATGGCCAGCACTCTAGAAACTCATCTCTCACGCCAATTCTCACGCCGTCATGTTTACGCTGACTATCTAATCCAGCAACTCGAGTTATAATTCGAGCCCAGGGGCCTGGGTGCGTTGGCATCAAAAATATTCTGCCGTTATTTGGTGGAAAGTGTGCGACGTGGCAGTTTTGGCAACGGGTCCAAATAAATAAAAAGTCTGAATAGGCGCTTCGTGTCCTGCCGGTTCGCGTAGAGATTGTCCTCTCGCTGTGCCGGCTGGGGGTGCTGTGCCAGGACCAGAGACACCGTTCTGAATAAAACTACACTGGAATAAAACTGTGGCTTGTCGCTGAAACTTTACAAACATAATCATAGTCACACGTGTACCTCATTATCTTAGGGTCAGTAGTAACTAACTCTGATTTAATGAATGCTTGGCAAATATAACGAGATGATCGTGAATTGCGGGTATAAATGCGACGTTGCGAGTGGGGCGAGAGAGATCGGGGCGTTTGCGTTATGTTGGGCGCACGTCCTTCGCGTGCGCGCTGCCGTTGACAAGCACACGCGTGTTGTCTGTTTTTGTGTCAATTCGCAGGCCGGGCTGCAGCCTCCCTGAAATCTGGGACCTAATCGACCCCGAAAACAAAGGGAAAACCCCCCTGTGCTCTCACCTGTACAACCACCCATACCCACACTTCTCTCCGGTCTTCAGCAATGATGTTTACACTTTGCTGATGGTTGACACCGAGATTCGGGCAGAGAAGGGGTCCACCTAATGGCACAAAACCAATCGCAGCCGCGTGTCGGTCCGCTGATGGAGAAGACCGCTCGCCCCCGAGACCTCTCGCTTTTTGGCAGAGGGCCGAGCGCTGCGCTGCCAAGAAACAAAACACTGTTCTTAGATCGAGGGCACGATCCAAGTTAAAACCTGCACATCAGTTTTAAACTTCGCGTGGACGAAACCGCTTGTGCACTCTGCAATACAAACCACGTGACCGCCACCGCGCGCCCCACACCACTCGGCACTCACAAACACGCGCACGAATCCACACGCGTGTAACGTGGCACCCCCTGCACACGCGCACAACGATGTAAACGGATCCCTCGCAGCCGTACACGCAGAATAATCCACTGCTGGATGAAGGCCCCCTCCCCTTCCAACGTGTCCATCATGGTGGCGAGCAAGTGACCATACTTCACTCTGCTGGTCAGCGTGGGTTGGTGACGCTGCTAGTTCGCGAGTCGAGCGGCGGCCAACGCAGAGCAGCACCGTGCGCCCCCCGTCTCAACCCCCCCCTCCCCTCGTCCCCATGTGATTATGAAAGATGCAAAACAAAAAGTTGGTACCATTTTCCCAGCTCCCACCGTCGCTACTGTGCACAGAGAGTCGAGCGATGTCGCGAGCTCCGTCTTTACAACATCGTTGCACTTCCTCCGCACCGCCAATTAGCACGGTTGGCTACGTACGGCGTGAAAGAAGTTCTACGCACGGACATACGTTCAACGTGCATGCAACGTGCCTACATCAACGGCGGGCGTCGACGCGAGTCGTCGTCACGCGCGAGCTGCCTGGACGCCTCGCAGGGATGTTTCCTGGCGGGAGCGTAGCGGCGTGGTCTCGCGACCACGTCCACGCGGGGGTCACGGCCCGTCCCACGCCAGCCACCTGCCACAGCGCTGACCCGCGGCTTTGCCCCGCTGACGTCGGTGAGCGCTGCCACCACCGTGATGCACGGGGGCTGTGTTTGACGCCACGTTTGGCAGCGTGGCGCCGAAATAGTTTCCACTGTGCTGTGCCCCCTCTCCAATGCACGTCTGACTTTGGCGGGTGCCCATTGTCATTGCTCTGGCTGTTTCCAGACTGATTAAAGCGGGGAAAAGTTTTAAAGTACATATCACTTCTGGGCCTTGGCCCTGTTCCCATCTCCCTCCCGCCCATCCACCCACCCACCCAGCTCAGCAGGCAGCAGTAATAATGTTCAGTGCGCTCTGGGGACGATGAGGTTCTCTCGTGGTTGCCCAGGCAGCCACGAGAGTCGATCGTGACGAGCAACGTGGGGTGTCGAATGGGGACGTGCAGTGTTCTTCGTCACCAAGGAACCTGAGCAAATATAAAGAGGTAGAGGAGGTGGGTGGGTGGGATGTGTGCGCTGTATAAATGTTGAACTTTGTTCAAGTGAAGCCGGCTGCCAAGACACGGCGGCGCGCGTGTTGTGGGTGTCCCAGGGAACGCTCGCAGAGCTGCCGGATCGCACCGCCTCGGCCTCTGCCCAGTGGGGACGACGGCCGCGGCCGCCGGTCTCCTCCGCCCCGTGCTTGTGACTGTGGACGCTCCAGGGGGAAATTACACTTTTGTTCCACCACGCAGACGGCGGTGGTGGTGGCGAGTCCCTAATCCAGCAACTCGTGCGCTTGGTCCGAGGGGAGGAGGCGTGGACGTTGTTGTTGGCAGCAAAGAGCTTCTGCTAATGTTTGGTGGAAAGTTTGCAAAATGGCAGTGTTCGCAACGGGTCCAAGATTTTTCAAGCATTTCCATTGTCCGTGTTTTCTAGAGATTACTATGAATATCATTATTGCGGTTGTTTACCGAGGAAATCCTGAGTCTCGTGAGACTTTTTCAGGAGTGTCTCGCCAATTATTTTGCAGGCGTGGTGCGTGATGATTGCTGCGGCTGCTGTTCCTGCTGCTGCTGCGGCTGTGTGATCCCAATGGGGTGATTAAGACGCGAGGTGTCGAGAGTGTTAATGAACGAGGGCTTTGGGAGCGAGCTCCGAGTAACGGGGACACCGCGGCAGCAGCGGCGGCGGCAGCAGCAGGAGCAGCAGCAGGAGCAGCAGCAGGAGCAGCAGCAGGAGCGGCCACCACCACCACGGTGGCGGTCGCGCGTGAGGCGGCCAACGCTCGAATTGCTGTGATTTTGTAATGCAGTGTTACGTTGCGTCTCGATGTAGCCGTCGCGATTCCAATGTTTATTTTAATTACAAGGTATAGAGTGGGGCTGAACGATTAATCGATTTTACATCGAGTTATCGCAATTTTTAAACAATGCCATTAGCAAATCGCAAAGGCTGAGATTTTTTTGTGATTTAAAAAGTCCTATTACTTTCTACCTCATGGGACCTCCTTTGCCAGTACCAAAATATAACAATAGGTTTTCCCCTCTGGTCTAACACCGTTTGAGACGAGGCTCAAAAGAAAGCTGTCTCTGGTGTGGACCAATCAGCTTCAAGGACAATGCATATACTACCAGAGTGTTTTGTTTGCATTCTGACCACAAGTATTGTGGTTAATGCAGACATGATTCCTTATAAAAAGGTTTCAGTTTGGTGTTTTAACAACTTGACACCTGTTTTGTTGCCAGAAAAAAAGGAGAAACACCTATTTTCCTACTACTTTCTTATTGGAATTGTTTTATTGATTATTATTCTAACTTTATTTATTTAACTTAACATCTGTTCTATGTTTGATTGTTCTATTTCAATTAAAACATTTTAATAAATACATGTTGGAAGCAATTAATATATTTTAAGTTCTCATCTTTGCATTAGAATATATAGAACAGTTTATATTTTTATGGTATCACGTGGTAATGCTCCACGTGTTTTAAATCTATTACACTGAATATTGAACTGAAGCTTGACTTAAAAAATGTAATGGCAAATCGCAATCGCAATGTCAGAAAAATCGCAATTAGATATTTCCCCCCAAATCGTTCAGCCCTAGCATAGAGTTAGGAACGCGTTTGATGTAAAACTTGTTTTCAACTGCCGGCGACACGAGTGTGTGGATCAGTAAATGCGGTTTCTCTTTGAACACTTGATACCCTTGGCTGCGATGTTTCTTGCCGAGTGTCGTCGGTGGGTGGTGCTGGCCGTGAGAGTGCATTGCGGTCACTTCGGTTCTTCACGTCGCCAAACGCGCCGCGCGTTAGCAGTCGGTGTTTGGCGATTCCTGTGTTGCATGGAATGGGATTCACGTGGGACCGCCTTGCAGCCATTAGTGACCGCTTAATTTCCATCATCATCAACAACAACAACGTCGTCTTCTTCAATCGTGACCACCACGTGCATCATTGGCACCGCAGTGTAATGGGAAAATACGTGGGCTGACGATTCGGGCAATGGCCCTTGGATAGAATGGTATCTGCCACAGCCTGCACCAGGTCCTTTGCTGCACGCTGCTCTACCGCTGCAGGAAGAGCCGACTCCACTTCTCCTGGAGCCTTGCTCTCCTTAGAGAACGGCACGCCGCTCGGAGCGAAGTGGGAAAACTCGTGAGGAGGTCGTCGAGTCGATGCGAGTGTCCCCGCTTGGCAAGCGGCTCGCGGCGCCACCGGCAGGCGGGGCTGTTGTCCACGGCTTGGCCATCATCGAGATTGTTGGGTTAGAGCGCGTACACGTAAATGTGTCGTTAAACCCGCCACCACCCGACATCCAATTAGTAAGGTTTGTCACGTAAACAAAATACGCCAATTCGTTACAAGTTCAGCACACCGGTGTGTTGGAGAGTAAACCCACAACATCTACAAAGGGTGGCTTGGTACGACAGCTAAGTGCGACTGCGTTACAAGAAGACCCCAAATGCAGAAGATCCCTGGTTTCCATCTTCCACGAAGCTCATGGTCCAACATGAATCGCATCTGTACAAACCATGGCAGGAGATGCGGGTATCTGATGCACAGATGTGACAAAAAAAACCTCGCGTAGCAGTGTGTCGACTGCGGTCACGCAGAACAGACCGTAACGGCATCTATCGACGCAATCCCCGACCCACAAATATGAAGGAGACGTCGCAGCGATGACTCCGCTCCCTCCTGACGCGGTTAATCTGGCTCGACAACCTCGATGTGAAATTTCAGTCGTCGCTCTGCATCTACAGTGAGAGAAAAAACGTATTTGATCCCCTGCTGATTTTGTACGTTTGCCCACTGACAAAGAAATGGTCAGTCTATAATTTTAATGGTAGGTTTATTTGAACAGTGAGAGACAGAATAACAACAAGAAAATCCAGAAAAACGCATGTCAAAAATGTTAGAAATTGATTTGCATTTTAATGAGGGAAATAAGTATTTGACCCCCTCTCAATCAAAGATTTATGGCTCCCAGGTGTCTTTTATACAGGTAACGAGCTGAGATTACGAGCACACTCTTAAAGGGAGTGCTCCTAATCTCAGCTTGTTACCTGTATAAAAGACACCTGTCCACAGAAGCAATCAATCAATCAGATTCCAAACTCTCCACCATGGCCAAGACCAAAGAGCTCTCCAAGGATGTCAGGGACAAGATTGTAGACCTACACAAGGCTGGAATGGGCTACAAGACCATTGCCAAGCACCTTGGTGAGAAGGTGACAAAAGTTCGTGCGATTATTCGCAAATGGAAGAAACACAAAAGAACTGTCAATCTCCCTCGGCCTGGGGCTCCATGCAAGATCTCACCTCGTGGAGTTGCAATGATCATGAGAATTGTGAGGAATCAGCCCAGAACTACACAGGAGGATCTTGTCAATGATCTCAAGGCAGCTGGGACCATAGTCACCAAGAAAACAATTGGTAACACACTACGCCGTGAAGGACTGAAATCCTGCAGCGCCCGCAAGGTCCCCCTGCTCAAGAAAGCACATGTACATGCCCGTCTGAAGTTTGCCAATGAACTTCTGAATGATTCAGAGGACAATTGGGTGAAAGTGTTGTGGTCAGATGAGACCAAAATGGAGCTCTTTGGCATCAACTCAACTCGCCGTGTTTGGAGGAGGAGGAATGCTGCTTATGACCCCAAGAACACCATCCCCACCGTCAAACATGGAGGTGGAAACATTATGCTTTGGGGGTGTTTTTTCTGCTAAGGGGACAGGACAACTTCACCGCATCAAAGGGACGATGGACGGGGCCATGTACCGTCAAATCTTTGGTGAGAACCTCCTTCCCTCAGCCAGGGCATTGAAAATGAGTCGTGGATGGGTATTCCAGCATGACAATGACCCAAAAACGCACGGCCAAGGCAACAAAGGAGTGGCTCAAGAAGAAGCACATTAAGGTCCTGGAGTGGCCTAGCCAGTCTCCAGACCTTAATCCCATAGAAAATCTGTGGAGGGAGCTGAAGGTTCGAGTTGTCAAACGTCAGCCTCGAAACCTTAATGACATGGAGAAGATCTGCAAAGAGGAGTGGGACAAAATCCCTCCTGAGATGTGTGCAAACCTGGTGGCCAACTACAATAAACGTCTGACCTCTGTGATTGCCAACAAGGGTTTTGCCACCAAGTACTAAGTCATGTTTTGCAGAGGGGTCAAATACTTATTTCCCTCATTAAAATGCAAATAAATTTATAACATTTTTGACATGCGTTTTTCTAGATTTTGTTGTTGTTATTGTCTCTCACTGTTTAAATAAACCTACCATTAAAATTATAGACTGATCATTTCTTTGTCAGTGGGCAAACGTACAAAATCAGCAGGGGATCAAATACTTTTTCCCCCCACTGTACATCGGCCAAAAACTAGCGAAGGGAGAAGGAAGATGGGATGACTTAGTTGGGCATCTGCGGTGCGACCGCGTGAAAAGATATCCAGGGCGGTGCGACGTTGACGGGAGGTCTGAGGTTTCAAATGATAGAGACCGAGATAATATTGAGAGTATCAGGAGGCCCTGAATAAGGTCTTGTGGGGCAGGACAATCCAGGGGGTCGTGAGCGTCGAGAGGGAGTTTTAGATGGTCAGAGCGGAGCCGGGAGTGCGATGGCGGAGACGACGGAGCGCTCGGCACAAAGGTCTCGGAGTGCTGGGAGAGGCGGCCGTGGGCTGAAGAGGGTCGATCAATTGGCACGCGAGAGAAAGAAAGAAGGCTGTTGTGGTGCTGGGCAGCTGTGGAATTATCTTTCTAGCTCATCGGATTCTTCCAGTAAAAAAATATAAAGATTCGGATTCTGAAATATCAGCAGACGCATGCACTGTGTACTGGCGATATGAGTACCAGAGATCTGTACACTACAGAGATCTGCACACTACAGAGATCTGTACACTACAGAGATCCGCACACTACAGAGATCTGTACACTACAGAGATCTGCACACTACAGAGATCTGTACACTACAGAGATCTGTACACTACAGAGA